AGGGATGAGCGAGGGGTGAGAGGGATGAGCGAGGGGTGGGAGGGGAGAGAGGGGTGATTGGGGAGAGGGGGGCCCTTTAATATTGTATTCCCTGAATGATTAGACACACCAGATGCCACTACAGATGTGGATGTGCCCCCCCCTCCCCCATGCAGCTAGCCCCTCCCCTCTCATGCAGCTAGCCTATGCCGTGGCGTGGTAGATGCCGGCCTCCCTGATCCAGCGTCGGCTCTGTTGCAGGGACTCGGGCCTCGGACTGCTGAAGGAGGACCGCATGGGGGCCTTTGTACTCCGGGCGGACGCGGGGGGCTCCGGAAGCTTCACCCTGTACATGAGCACCCAGTGCGGGGTCATTCCCTACAAGATCTCCACCAATCAGAAGGCCCGGTACTGCTTCGAGGTGAGACGGATCTCCGCAAATGTCAAGTTATGTGTGTGGGATGACGTGACGGGGTTAAAAGAGCACCTGTACAAGCTACAGGAGGAGGGGGAAGGGGAGGGGCTTTTATTCTAGTGGTTTTTGAATCACAATGTTAAGCCCTGCCCCTATACCTGTTAAGTCCCTCCCTCCTGACAATAGCCCCGCCCCCTGGCCATGTGCTTCACTCATTTTGCATATGGCCGATGTACAGGGATCAGTGGGTGGAAGAATGATACTAAATACAATGTAAAGAGAACCCGTCACAGCGCCGCTCCATTCTGTTATCACCACTCAGCGGACTGACGCATTTATTATTTCTATCTTCTCCTGACCTGTATGTGGTCCGTGTGAGGACAACTCTGGAGCCGGGATCTGATAACACACTCCGTCTCCCGACTCCGGAGTCCACATAACAGTATCAGATAATAGGAAGGGATATGCCTGACCCCGCCTCCTTCCTCTCTCCCCAGCACCTCCCACAGGAATTCCCCAGCCTGGCGGCCCTGGTGGAGCACCACGCCGGAGTGGACGGCAACCTCTTCTTCCAGCTGGCTCATGGCAGAGTGAACCCGTCCTATGAGTCGGAGGACCCCCAGTCCAGCCCCCCATCCCCCGGAGAGACGGCAGACAGCGAGCAGAGAGAGGTGCAGGAGGAGGAGTGCAGCCGGAGGCGGGAGCAAGAGCTGCCAACAGATGTCCACACAACGCCGTCCACACACCTCACCATCTGATTGTACAACCTCCGTATACAGCCAGACATACCTGCCGGGGGCTGTCATGTGACTTCTATGTAGATACCTGCCGGGGGCTGTCATGTGACTTCTATGTAGATACCTGCCGGGGGCTGTCATGTGACTTCTATGTAGATACCTGCCGGGGGCTGTCATGTGACTTCTATGTAGATACCTGCCGGGGGCTGTCATGTGACTTCTATGTAGATACCTGCCAGGGACTGTCATGTGACTTCTATGTAGATACCTGTCGGGGGCTGTCATGTGACTTATATGTAGATACCTGTCGGGGTCTGTCATGTGACCTCTATGTAGATACCTGCCGGGGGCTGTCATGTGACTTCTATGTAGATACCTGCCGGGGGCTGTCATGTGACTTCTATGTAGATACCTGCCGGGGGCTGTCATGTGACTTCTATGTAGATACCTGCCGGGGGCTGTCATGTGACTTCTATGTAGATACCTGCCGGGTGCTGTCATGTGACTTCTATGTAGATACCTGCCGGGGACTGTCATGTGACATGTATGTAGTATATCTGTACATGTAGAACCTTCATTACAGTTTATTTTCCATACACTGACTGTGATCTGCTGAATGTCTGCCATGGAGGAAAAGAGGTGCATGGAAGGCTGCCAGGCCAAGCCGACCCCCCCCCCTGGAAGTAAATAGAAAGGAACAGATGGCTAGCGGGCCACAAATACGAATGGTCAGTCATCAGGTCACATCCTGTAACAGGGTGACAACACCGTTTGTTCGGCAGTAAATTCACACAGCAGTGTTGTCACCCTGTGGACAGGAGAGTCTTTGATGGACAGAACATTGAATATAAATGTCCCCCCCCAAAAAAACACAAAGTGGACTTTCCTTTCCCAACACCGTCCGCCAGAAATTATTTGATTCTAATGTGATCTACGCGGATAGAACGATGAGCAGGAACACCGCGCCGCAGGAACAGAAGGAAACATTGTAATTCCATCATTTGCCCCTTTTATAATGACAATAAAACGGTGTTTCCGGCACAGGGGAAGATTTGTTACATTTTATATCATTTGGTGCATTTTTTTTGTCTTAAAAAATAAAACAAAATGAATGAAAAAGAAAGTTAAAATATTTAAAAAATATAAAAAGTTAAAAAAATAATATCTATGGGGAAGAAAAGTGTTCATGTGACCTCAGACCTTCCATGACCTATGAATACAAGCTGACAACAGACGGGTACATTGTATTTCCTCAGTGGTCCGCAGGTCAGAGGTCAGACCTTCCATGACCTATGGATGGAATATGAATATAAGGTGACAACAGATGGGTACATTGTATTTTCTCGGTGGTCAGAGGTCAGACCTTCCATGACCTATGAATGGAATATGAATACAAGGTGACAACAGACGGGTACATTGTATTTTCTCGGTGGTCACTGCCTGTAGAACTCAATGATTGGGTGATTGCAGTCAGGCCGCCCGCGCTGTAGTCGTGTCCTCGCGGTCACGGACAGATATCCGGGCCCGGACACAATCTATTGGCTTTCATGCGGTCATTGATTTCCACAGGCTGAGCGTCCCATGCTGATTGGAACACCCGGATCCCGGCCACAGGAATGCGCTGTATACCTGGCACCATGACTGGTTTATGATGTGGGGATGAGGCCTGGAGGTGATTGTACAATCAGATTGTATGGTGTGTGTGTGGTCACCTGAGCTGATTGTCAGATAACACAACCCTCAGCACGATTTATCACCATACACACACACACACTATGATTGGCTTTCCCAGCGGGAGAGCGTCAGGCAGAGCTGTGCACATGCGCACTCGCAGGGAGCGCGCACGGAGGCGGGGGACGCATTCAAAACACTTTCATACTACCCAGTGACGTCACGCACTGGTTGCTAGGTGATGGACACGCTGTACGGAGGGGGCGGTGCTCGGGGCGGAGTCGGAGAAGCAGCACGGTTCGGAGCGGAGATTCACGGTAATACCGGGAGAGGGGAGGGGTCAGGCTGTTCCCATAGAGACCGGTCATCGGGCAGACCGGGAGATCTACCTCATGGGGGGTCACTGTGCACCCTACACAGCCAATCACTGGGCAGGAGACAGGGTCGCAGTTTATTGGGGTGCCGTGGCTTTGGGTAGTGTCCTCTGGTGGGGGCACTTCGGGGTCCTCAGCCTGAGGGTCAGAGGTCACCATGCTGAGTGCACTCAGGAGCTGGGACACGGCCTAAGCTCCTATTGAGGATGCAGCTTTGATATACCAAGAGCGTTGCAGTAACCAATCAAATGTCAGATTGGATGATCGCCGCACAGACAGTGCAATCTGATCTGACAGAAGAGGGAGACCGCCATCCAATCAGATCTGACCCCCTCCCCCATGGTCACTCACACAGCTCATTGTCTTTTATAGAGTCCCCACACTGGGAGCATGATTGTCCCTGGAGGAGGCCGAGCCGTGTAACCCGAGAGTGGTGAGCCGCCTTCCCCCGCAGACATGGCCGCCGAGTCGGTGAAGGTGGTGGTGCGATGCCGGCCCATGAATGACAGGGAGAAGGACATGAAGTGCCGGGCCGTGGTCACCATGGACAGCAGCCGTGGTCAGTGTTTCATCCAGAAGCCGGAGGCGGGGGAGGAGACTCCCAAACAGTTCACCTTTGATGGGGCGTACAACATGGAGCATTGCACGGAGCAGATCTACAACGAGATCGCCTACCTACTGGTGGAGGTGAGGAGGGCCGAGACCACCTCCAATGGGGTCTGCTGCCTGGACTCCAACCCCCCCCAGCTGTCCATTCATTGTAGGGGGTGCAGTGCTGGTGACCTTCCCCATCACCCCAACCAGAGCAATGAACATCCCCGTTACCACCACAGGAAGACTCACCCCAACAATTACCCTGCCACCCCCAAACATGAATGCTGACCCCCCTCTCCATTACCCAACATTCACCCTCCCCCACACCATAACATTGACTCTTCCCACCACCCCAACATCGTCCAACATGAGTCCCGACATTGATTCTCTCCAACACCTACCCTCCTCATAACTACAAATTGCTCCACCCCTGCCATCCAAAATCTAACCCTCCCTATTACCCATCCCCCCCTCTCATGATCCAACAATGACCCATCCCCACCACCCCACACACCAACTCTCCCCATTACCCATCCCCACCATCCATCAATGACCCATCCCCACCACCCCAACTCTCCCCATTACCCATCCCCACCATCCATCAATGACCCATCCCCACCACCCCAAAACTAACCCTCCCCATTACCCAACAATGACCCATCCCCACCATCCATCAATGACCCATCCCCACCACCCAAACACCCACCTTCCCCATAACCCAATAATGACCTATCCCCACCACCCCAACATTGTCACATGACTCCAACATTGATTCTCTCCAACACCTACCCTCCTCATAACTACAAGTTGCTCCATCCCTGCCATCCAAAATCTAACCCTCCCTATTACCCATCCCCCCCCATGATCCAACAAT